TATTGTAATCATCTTTATCCTTATCTCTGCAGGAACTCATTTCCTCAACTTTGTATCAGCCACAGAAATGGAAAGCGATATAAATTTTAACTGCAATTTTGCCTACTCTTTTTAAAAGTCTAACCTAGTGGTATGGCAAAAGAGGGTAATGTTTTATAAAGATTTATTAATTTTTATTGTAAAGTCAGATTTACAAACAGGAGGAGTGACAGAGAGGAAGATCTCCAGTCCAATGATTCACTCCCCAAGCGGGCGCAATGGCCAGAGCTGTGCCGATCCACAGCCACGAGCCTGGAGTGTGGGTGCAAGGTCCCAAGGCTTTGGGCCATCCTTGACTGCTTTCCCAGGCCACAAGCAGGGAGCTGGATGGGAAGCAGGGCTGTTGGGATTAGAACTGGTGCCCATATGGGATCCCGGCATGGGTAAGGCGAAGACTAGCTGCTAGGCTACCTCGCCAGGCCTGAGGGTAATTTTTTTTAATGAAGATGTTTAGATCTAATCTTCATCTGATATGTGTTTCTATCTCCAGTTTACACTGAAGGAAGTGCTTACCAAGGACAGACTCAATTCTCTTGATTTCGTTTCTTTTTGCCTCCAAAAAGAACCCTGTATTTAACCAGGAAACCCTCTTACAATTTCTGAATTTATAAATGTGAGAAAACTCTCATAATATAATGTATTCCTACCAAATTGTCTTCAGGACACAAAGAGTGATTGACAACTTCAGAAATTACATCTGAGGCTTAGTCCTTCAGGAAAAGGAGGTATGAATTGCCTGCAAATTATCCACAAATCCCTGATGAGCCGGAGGAGAAAATATGAGAGCCTTCAGTTTTTCTTTAGCAAATTTACTCACATGTCTCCCTTTGCTATAAAACACAAACATCCCAAAGAAACTATCCCTTTGTGATCCTTCTCCTTGACCAATGGGGAGACTGTAAAGGTGCAATGTCAAGTAATGGCCTTTATCATGTGCCAATAGTGTTCCCAAATTACTGGTTCTTTGACTTAGAAGCAAAGAAATATATAACCTCTGAAGAAAAGATTTACAATCTAAAGAAAAATTAGGATTCATGATATAAAAATGTATATGGTGTTGACTTTATACAGTACACAAGTAAACAACCTTGTGCTTTGTCCTGTTGACTGAGTAAATATGCATCACTTGAAAAGACTAAGCATAGTTGAATGCTGGTATTTACAATGATGGCTGATGCTTAAAAATTGAAAAGGAGCGGGCCCAGCGCAGTAGTCTAGTGGCTGAAGTCCTTGCCTTGCATGCACCAGGATCTCATATGGGTGCCGGTTTGTGTCCTGGTGGCCCCACTCCCCATCCCCACCCACAGGGGTGGCTGTGAATATAGGTTTTTGTCTATTTTAAAGGCAGTACAATGGAGAGAGGGGGTAAAGTGAAAGCAGCAGTGAGAGATCTTCCGTTTTATTCCCCAAATACCCACAACAGCAGCCTGGGCCAGGTCAAACTGTGAGCCAGGAGAGGAGCCAGGAAGTCAATGTGGGTCCTTCATGTGGATGGGAAGGCTCCGAGTCAGCCAGGATGTATATTAGCAGAAGGGGAAGGGCTGATTCTGCCCACTCTGGAATGAGGTGTGGGCCTTCCAAGCAGGGGCTTAGCCTTTTATATTAATTAACAAAGTAATTGTGTATCTGTTGAATCACATGACAAATTGGGAGCTCTAATACTATATGTATACATCTTTTTTTTTAAGTAATTATTTTAAAATTTTATTTCCATAAATTTGTCCATGACAAGCTCAGAGAAACCTAACCTCTTACACACATAATTTGAGAAACAGTACTCAAGAATGTTTAAAAACAAGAAAACCTGAATAGAAAAATATAAGCCAATTCATTACACTTTTATTTCTCTCCTAGAAAATAGATTCAATAGTAGCACTTGCTTCTTGGGACTAGATCTGATCATTAAGGAAGGATAAATGTATGTAAAGTGCTTAGTAAAACATTCCCTCCCTCTCAACACTGGCTTCTTGTGTTATTGAACAACTATTTCAGAGAATAAATGCTTAACTGAAGTTAATTCAACCAAAATTTTCCAAATCTTTTTGAATTATGATACAATGTAGCAGAGAATATGAGATTTTTATTGTCTTACTAAAGAGTTCAAATAATCACTTTGGAGCCTCATGGCTTAGGCTCATCTTTGAGCCTGTCTCCTCATCTATAAATCTAGACTATAACTTCCTTTGGATAGGATAATTGTGAAGATTAAGATAAGATATAGTGAAATAAGTTTTTTTTTTTTTTACTAAAAGGTGCTCCCTTACTTTTATTTCATTAATAAACTTTAATTAATTTTAAAAAAGATAACTTGAACAGAGACTCCAGGAATAGAATCAATCTTTACAATATAATAATGTGTCGGAATTTATTTTTGAAAACATTCTTTGCACTTGGTAGACTCAGGGAAAATATGATGGACTCTTTCCAAGGTCAAGCATCCTCAGATTCTTTCATTCTGCCTAGAACTCTTTGCTCCAGCCAGGAAAACATTCCCAGGCATATCCTTATTTTTCTTACCCTTTTGTATTAACATCATTTTTGAAATGACCTGCTAGTGTCTCTTAGCCAAAACCCAAACATCTTTAAAATTATCCAACATTCATTATACAATAGGTTCTTCCAAAAAGCTGAAGGAATCCCTGTGTTGCTACGATTTCCTATGTATTTTTCATGTAAAAAGAAAATCCTTCTTCCTATCAGTCTACACTCTGCCATTCCATTTCTTGGGTTAACGTGAGGACATTATCAACTGTTCAAGGCCACCTACTAAGGCTGATTCCAAGCAAGTAGCCAATTTGGGTTTTTAATTTGGTGTCTGCATTTCACTTAGTAGGGAAATGGTACAAGTGGTGGACTTACTGGGAAGTAGAGGGGGAAATTTAGTCATGGAGGGGCAGCGCCATCGAAAGTAAGAGAAGACAAGGTATACTGGCAGTGATGATAGGAAGAGGATGAAAGAGAGTGAGAAATACTGAAAGAATTCTTCAGAGGCAAAAGGGGGAAAATCCAATTTCATTCACATTACAAGACAAAGGAAAGTGACTAAGCAATATCATTTCTGCTTTATCTTAATTTGTGATTAATAACCAACACTACTGTCAATAGAAATGAAAATAGCAACATAACTACTTTTCCCCCAGCACTAACTTTTACAACAATCTACTGAACTTGGGTCAAAATTGTAAGTCACCAGTATTCTAAACAAAAAAAGAGAAAAACAAACCTGGCATTTTTCCTTAAGGTTGTGAGGGTGAAAGCAGGGCAAGAGCCAGAGAGAAGTTGCTATAAAAATAACCAAGCCAAACATCTCTGAACTGTTTTCTATAAAAATCTGAGGACTGTGAATTGGAAAGAGTGAGGTTGGAAAGGCGAAAGGAATGGAGGAATCGAGTGGTGTCTGTTTATCGTCAGCTAGCTTTCATGTAAAAGTCATGACAGGGTCAGCCACAAACTAGCCAGGTGGCAACTCCAGGCCATGCTGCCATAAATAGTTATGTACTAATGTCACACAAGCAGAGCTAGATGCAAAGCATATGGGAAGAAAACATCCTGGTGTAAATATTCAGAAAGCGTGGTGACTGAATTTAAGATCCATGGTTGGCAGTTGACTTTGAGATGTCTTAGAACATAAAATGAAACTAAAAAAAAAAAGCAAGAAACTGGGGCTAGAGTATTTCATTTCATACAAATATATTCACTTAAAAACAAAGCTTTGGTTTAAAAGAGTGTGACTACTCCACGAACAGAGAACAGGCTCTGGAACCAAAACTGGCAGAGCTTCAACCTTACCTCTGCGGCTCACTTGCTCTCCTGACCTCTGGGAGACTCCTTCATCTTTCCATGCATCTTACTCAACTTTGCACAAAAAAGGGAAAGGAGGATAACAGGAACAGGACTCATCCCACAGCAAGCTTTGAGCATTCATTGATTCTGAAAGAGGAACCAGCACACACCGTCCATTTTTAGCAAAGTCTTACCAGGAATATTTATTTAATGTAGAGTATCTGCTGGACACTATACTATCCTATTTCAACTTCAAAATAGTCTCATAAATTTTCTAAAAATTATTTTTGAAGACAGGAATGGAGGTTTTGACGGATTAAGGAGTTTATTCAATGAATTATCTTCCAGCCTAAGCTTTACTCTGGATGAAACCTTTTTCACTGCTTAACAGTCTGGAAAAATCTAAGCTATCTTTTCCATTTGTTGAGAATTTTCATTTATTTAGAATTTCATCTGCTTGGAATCTGAAGAGATGGAATATGACACATGACTTTCTAAGAAGAGATTTTAAAAAAGGATTAAGGGAGGGGTTACGTCCCAATTAATTGCCTGAGGAAATCTGAGATGCACTCACAGCGTATCTGAGAAACCCAATCCATTCTTGGAGTAGTTTCCCCACGCACTTAGGAGCGCCCACTCCTTGCCGAGGGCCAGAGAAAGCGTTGGATTAAGTTCCCAACAAGGACAAAACCGTTCTCCCTGCCAGGAGAAGTTCTAAGACTTTCTCAACGCAAGTGAAGCTGTGTGATAGCAGAGCTTCCGGTGCGTTTTAAAGTGCCTGGCTCCTGACGCGGAGCCACAGGCCCGGCGTCCCTCCACAGGCAAGGCACCGCTCGCAGCGCGTTCAAATCGCGCGCCCTCGGCGTGGCTTTCGCGGGCTGCGGCGGCAGGCTCGCGGGGCTCACGTGAGACACTCCGCAGCGCTCGCGCCTCAGGCCCTCCGGCTTGTCGCAAAGCTGGGGCGCTGTCCGCGTCAGCAGCGTCGCCGGTCGCTCCCGGGTGGGCGGTGCCGGCCCGGGGCATACCTGCCGGCCGCGGCTTGTGGCGCCACGCCCTCCCTGTGAGCCGCGGTCAGGTCCGCCCGGAGGCTCTGCCCTTAACCGACATGGCGGCCTGACGCCTTCATGCTAGGCCACTGCGGCTGCTCAGTAAACCCACGCTTGAGCAATCGGGGACTCCAGCCCGCCTCTGCTGCGTAGGTGCCGGGTGAAGCCCTGTACTTGGGTTTCTTGTTCCGCCTGTGCAGCTAGGGGTGTATTTCTGGAGGGAAAAGAGCAGGCCGAGGAAGAGGAGGACCCAGGACCGTGCCGCGGCGTGCCAGTCCCTCAGCTTCTGACACTAGGGCTGCTCGATCCCCTGAGTGTTTTTCCTTGTCTCTCTCAGCTCGTGGTCCCTGGCCCAACATGATCTTGACTAAAGCCCAATACGACGAGATAGCCCAGTGCCTAGTGTCCGTACCGCCCACCAGGCAGAGCCTGAGGAAGCTGAAGCAGAGGTTCCCCAGGTAAGTGTCCGCCTCTCTCCGCTCACAGCTCCTTGCCTGCCGGCAGCACTGCCTCCCCAGCCTGCTCGCAGAAACCACGTGTTACACACTGGCGGGGGAGGAACACCCGTGTCAGGAACTCCGGGACGGCGAGAGAGATGTCATCCGCCTTCCGGCCACAACTCCTCACGCGGGGGACTGCACCAGGCAGATGCACCCCACGGGTCTTGCAGGGAAATTCAAACCATCAACTGCTTATTGAAAACTTGGTGGGTGCTAAGTGACGGGTACAAGTCATTGATGTGTTGTAGGTGATTAATTCACAGATACTGGAAATGAATGGGTGTCAATGAATGTCCTGTCAAAGTGTGAACGCAAAAGATGGGTTCAAAAGGAGGGAAGGGGGACCCTCTTTTCAGCTGGCTCCTGGACACAGGGAAATCAGGCCTGTTGTATTATAGCTCTCATTGTTAACTATAAGTAACCCCAAGGGTTCTCCGCCCTGGCACAGTTTGGGGTCCCAGGGATTCCAGTTGGGTTATATATATGTATATTCTAGATGCATTTTATCCTTCGCTTCTCTCCAGAACACTTCCTTGAGTAATTTTAGAGTTTGGATAACTCTAAAATAGTTACAAGGTTAATAACTTAAAATAGTTGGATACTATTTTAAGAAAGATCTTACACATGGTTACTTCAATAGGTTCATGAAAAACATGAACTTAAAAGGTGAGTTTATTTTCATGGTAGAATTTTTAAATGTATGCATTTTTTTCATAATACACACTATTTCATGAATGAGGACCCTTTATATGCATAGATTTCAACGGTTTTGCACAAAAATAAACATTATTTTTTTAAATATATTTTTATTAGAATGGCAGAGCTAAAGAAAGAGGAGAAGCAGAGAGATCTTCCTAATGCTAGTTCACTCCTGAAGTGATCTCTCACGTGCGTGCAGATCCCAAGGACTTGAACCATCCTCCACTGCTTTGCCAGGCCATATGCAGGAGCTCGGTCAGAAGTGGAGCAGTGCAGAACTTGAACTGGCAGGCATATGGGATGCCATACTGCAGACAGAGCCTTCTTGTGTGATGACACCATGCAGGCGCCAAAATAAGCTTGTTTTTTTAACCTTTTTTTGGTAAGTTTTATAGTTTATTTAAAAGGCATAGTAACAGAGAGGGGCAGGGAGAGACAGAAGTGAGGGCAGATCCAGGTACTGGTTCACTTCCCAAAGTCAACAACGATGAGTATGGAACCAGTCAGACCAGGAGCCAGGGACTTCATGTGGGCAACAGGGACCCAGATACTTGTACCATCATCTTCCATCTTCTGCCTCCCAGGTGCATTTAGAGACAGTGGGATCAGAAAGAGAGGTGAGATGTGATTCTAGGCACCAAGATCTGATGTGATTCTGATAAGAGATCAAAATGTGATTCTGATAAGAGATCAAGATGTGATTCTGATAAGAGATATGGGTACACCAAGTGGTGGCTTAATGCATTATGCTAAAACACCCACCACAAAACCTATCTCTTTTTTTTTTTAAAGATTATTTATTTTTATTGGAAAGTCACATATACAGAGAGGAGAGACAGGAAGATCTTCCATACAATGATTCACTCCACGAGCAGCCTCAATGGCCGGAACTGCGCCGATCCGAAGCCAGGAGCCTCTTCCAGGTCTCCCCGGCGGGTGCAGAGTCTCAAGGCTTTGGGCTGTCCTCTACTGCTTTCCCAGCCACAAGCAGGGAGCTGGATGGGAAGTGGGGCTGCTGGGACATGAACTGGGACGTGCAAGGCAAGGACTTTAGCATCTAGGCTACTGCACTGGACCCAAAACTGATTTTTAAATTCTATTGTTTTCCATGACGTTTTTGAAGTACCTTCATGTAGTATAAATTCTTCATTTTAAAGGTGTGAGAACTGACTCAAACAATTCTTGAAGAACCAATATAATGTAAGCATGTTACTGTATTTATGCCATGTTGGTTATGTTGAAAGTGTAGGATGTTTCCTTTTTCTAATTCTGAACCAAATGCCACCTGTGGTGCTTTGTCTCATCACACTAATGGTTATCCTAAATAGACCTTCCCTGTTTTTAATATGTCCCCCTTGAATGGGCATTACTAAAGAAGTGTATTCTTTAGGAAATAGATGTTATTGGGTAATTGGTGTCAAAGTGTAAATGGATGCCTAAGTGGGAGGTCTTTGATGACCTGAGTTCTTTGGAGGACTTGGGTTTCCTATACAGTAAAATGAATGATCTCTTTCCAGTGTGATCCAGATTGAATTCATGGTGCTATTTATCCTTTTATATGCTTTAGCATATCTTGCAAAATCTGCATCACTGATACAGGCATCCCTGCACCCCATGTATCCCATGTCCTAACCCCTGTGCCACACACCTACCCCTTGAACAGGCTTTAAATGTAGTGGTTCGTTTTATCAGAGTCAGTCAGGCAAGCACCTCAGACATCTTTTTTTTTTTTTTTTACGGTTCGCAGATGTAAAGTGACATAAGAAATTCCAGAGATGCTAAATGATCACATAGTGCCCGGAATATAGGCTCCTTGAGTTTCAGTCTAATGCTAAGGGATCTTGGTTAGTTTTCATATTAAGATAGCGTAGTCATCATTTTTTCATGCGTGGCATTCCCACGTAAACAGCTCTAGTATTTTTTCTACCTTCTGTTTTTTTTCTCCCAGTATATTATTGCCTCTGCTTATATAGTTCATAAATCTTGTACACCACCCCAACATAATGAGAACATTGCTCATATTTAAAAAGTTTTTGCAACTTCAGATATCAAATAATGCTACATTCTAAGTGTGCCACGTGCCATTAATTTCTTTATTTCCTTCTTATTGGATGTCAAAGGGAGGTTTTGTGATTTTTGTTTTTAGATTATTTATTAGTTTGGAAGTCAGTGAGAGAAAGATCTTTTCTATTGGTTCATTCCCCAGATGGCCACGATAGCCCGGGCTGGGCCTGCCTGAAGTCCGGAGCCAGGAGCTTCTTCCAGGTTTCTCTCATCTGTATGCGTCTTAACACCTAGGCCATCCTCTGCTGCTTTTCCCAGGCCGTTAGCAAGGAGCAGGATAACAAGAGGAGCAGCTGAGACTCCAGCCAGAACCCATATGGGATGCTGGCATTACAGGTGGCAGCTCTACTTGCTCTACGCACCACAACACTGACCCTGACACAACACCGATGCAAAGGAGTCGCTTCATGGAGTTGCAGTTTGCAAGGCATTGGCCAACTTATGCTTTGGGAGCATCAGTAAATATAAGATAAATAGAAACAGGAGCTAGTAATCCTCTTAAGTCACGCTATTTTTTTTTTTAAAGAATTATCATATAACTAATTATATATACTGTTGACAGGTGCTTAATGAAATTTTTAAATATAATTTATTTTTGTGCATATATAATACCAAATCTGTCTTATTTACATGGGTTATATATTTTCACATTCAAATATGAATAAAATTGGGGAAGTAAAAGTATCACTTTATTTTAAAAATAGTAGACCCATCACTTCCTATCATATTCTTGTGATAATAACCACAATTTAAAAAATATAGTGAGTGGGCACAGCAGAGTGGCTAAAGTCCTCATCTTGCATGTTCTGGGATCCCATATGGATGCTGGTTGGCTCTGATTTCCATCCAGCTTCCTGCTTGTAGCACAGGAAAGCAGTGGAGGACAGCCCAGGATCTTGGGATCCTGCACCTGCGTGGGAGACCTGAAAGAGGCTCCTGGCTCCTGGCTGTGCATTGGCTCAGCTTCAATCATGTTGGCCATTTGGGAGTTAATCATCAGATGGAGGATCTTCCTGTCTCTCTTCTTCTCTGTATATGTGACTTTCCAATAAAAATAAATAAATCTTAAAAAAAAAACATGTAGTGAGAATGTAGCAATGTTTTACCCTTTGCAAATCTCTTTCATACTTGCCATAATTGAGGAGAGACACATCAGACTGGGTATTCAACTTGTTATGATATTTTGTTTTTGACTAAAGAATATGAAAAAACTCTGTCTTCAGACATATATGCACTTGGAAAAGGAAAGAATAATTTAATAGACTTGTTAGATAATTGTGAATATTTTTGTTATTGCATAAAACTTAACAAATGGTATTTTCTTAAAGGTTAATTGCAATATAGATTCTGAAACCATATCAAGAAACTTTTCACACTCTGTTATATTACAATCCATTAGCCTAATTTGAACTTTGAATGGATTTTTTAACCATGCCTGATTTTTATCATCATTCATTGTTCGTTTGCATAATGCTGGTTGTGAGTTATGCAAATTTTCCAAATGTTGTCACCTTGCATTATACAATATCAGAAAAAAATCAACATTTGTTAATATCACCACTGATCTCATCAGAAAGTCTGTGTGATTTGAAGCTGTCAAGCTTATAGTGATGGATATGAGCTTTCCAATATTTGAGTTTTCCCTTGAAACCTCAAATTTTATCCTTGGCAACAACTGCTATCAGTTGTTTTCCTTGAAGTGACAGTCTCATGTTGTTTATTTTTGAGAAAATGTCTACCACATTCCCAAATCTCAATAATCATACGTTGTCCATCATTCATTCAAATAACAATGGTGTTGCATGGAGAAGGTGGCTGGTTCAGCTTTCCCATCATGCAGGTCCTCTCTCCTGAGGCAGCCAGAGTACTTGGATATGCAGAAGATGTGCCTCATTTCTACTTGTTTTGTTTTATGCAGTGTTAAGAGTGTGTGTGTGTTCAAGAACTGAGATTTAATAAAACTAATCAGTGAACAGTCTTAAGTGAAACGGTCTTTGTTCCCTAAACTCTTTTCCCAGTGTGTGGTAGTGAAGAATAGCGTGGGTACTAACACAGTAATGGTACCCTGGCCTTGGTTTGTACACAGGAGCTGGGATTTGATGCACCATGGTTTTTTGCCCACAGTGCAAATGTCAGTAATAGGGAAAGGGAAATAACGTCATCTTTTCCTTAATTAAAAATATTTTTGACTAGTT